TGTTGTTATTTGCTGTTGGTGGGAATGTAAAATGGTGCAACCACTCTGGAAGGCAGTATGGCGTTTTCTCAAAAAGTTGAAAATAGAGATACTATTTGACCCAACATTTTCACTTCTGGGAATATGCCCTAAAGAAATCAGAACTGTTACCCACACGTATATATGTGCACCCATGTGTATTGCTACATTGTTCATAATAGCAAAGAGATGAAACAACCCAAGTGCCTATCAACAAACAAATGGATAGAGAAGCTGTGGTATATTCACATAATAGAATACTATGCAGCACTGAAAAACACGGAACTCCTGAAATATTAAACAAAATGGGTGACCCTTAAGGACATTATGCTGAGTGAAATATCTCAGTCACAAAAGGACAAATATGCATAGTGCCACTGTTATAAAACAGTACTGACAGGAGAGCTCTGGTGGCCGAATGGCAAGAAGCTGCAGTGCAATCCCAGAGATATGCGGTTCAAATCCACCAGATGCTGTGCCAGAGAAGGAGGCTCAATCTCCTCCTGTACCAGTCAGATCCAGTTTGACGGTACACACACACAAATAAATAAATAAAAAATTTAAAAAAAACAAAAACAAACAGTACAGACATAGGGATTGGGGGGAACCTAAGACAGGCCTATTTGTTTTCTTGGTGGTCCATATTATGTTTAAGGCTCCAGAACAACAACTCAAAGGCATCAACTCTTCTTTGGTCATTGATAGTCATTGTCCAGCTCTCTGATGCATAGCAAGTAATTGCAAAGACCATGGCCTGGATCAGGTGCACCTTAATCTCTAGACTGTCATCGTTGCTTCACAGTACCCAGGAAAGGTCCATGACAGCAGATTTACCAAATGCAATTCATTTTTTTATTTCCTGGTGCCAAGAGTGTTGATTTGTGGAGCCAAGCAAGATGTAACTGTTAACAATCACAATCTCTTCTCCATCCATCATGGTGCTGCCAATTGACCCAGTGGTGAAAATCTTTGTCATCTTGATATTGAACTTCAATCCATATAGAAGACTACAGTCCTTGACCTTCTGCAGCAAGTGGTTCAGGTCCTCCTCAGTTTCAGCAAGCAAACTTGTGTCATCTGCATAACGTAGGTTGTTGATGAATCTTCCTCCAGTCTTGATACCGCATTCCTCCTCATAAAGCCCAGCCAGCCGAATGATCTATTCTGCATATAGATTGAATTTGGAGACAGGACACAGCCCTGACACACACACTCTCTTCCTGATTTTGAACAATACAGTGTTTCCCTGGGTGGAAAACCAACTCTCTCTCTCTCTCTCTCTCTCTCTCTCTAAGTAGTACCTTAAACAAGGTAGAAATCTATTTCTCAGTAGTCGAGAGCAACGTTGTACAGCACAGACCTGGTGACTTCACTGTGTTGACTGCCATCTCCCTCCCAGCTTTTGTTCTTAGTCCAGATCTTTCAAATACTAGTATCTCCTAGCTAATGGGACAGAGAAAAAGGAAAAGGGACAAAAATGTTAGGCTTTTGGTTTTTTTATTCAATTCCATTAGAAATTTCTATGCTGACTCAAACACCCTCTTCTGTGGTTCTAGTCCACCTGTGGCTCTGGGCAGAAAGATGGACTATCTCCTCTCATTAAGATATTGAGCCTTGGAAACCCAGTGGACAGTCACTCTTCAAGTTGGAACCAATTCAATGGCAACGAGATAGAGTTTTGAATTTGTACATCATCTGTCTAGGGAGCAGTTAGTAAAACATCAAATGGAATGTATAATTTTTATATAGGTTTAATAAAGATTTGTTTCTTTGATCTTAGCTGATGTTTCCTTCTGTTAATTTACTTGCTGTTGTTAGGTGCCATCAAGTATGATCTATAGGAGCCCTGTGAAGAACAGATCTGAACCTTGTTCTATCCTGTGCCATCCTCACACTCCCTGATACACTAGAGCTCATTGTAGCAGTCACTGTGTCAGTCTATGTCGTCGAAGCTCTTCCTTTCCTTAGCCCACTCTCTACCTTTCCAAGGAATAACCCCTCATAGCAAGTATGTGAGATGAAATTTTATCATCATTGCCTCCAAAGAGCACTATGGCTGCATCCTTTTCAAGACATAACTTGTTCTTTTGGCAGTTTATGGGATGTTCAGAACTCTTCTCCAACACCACAGCTCAAAGGCATCGATTCTTCTTCTGTCATCCTTGTTCATTGTCCAGCTCTCAGATGCATAGTGATCAGAAAGACAGTGGCCTGAATCAGATGCACCTTAGTCCTCAAAGTGATGTCATTACTCCTCAGTAATTTGGAGAGCTCCCTGATTGCAGACTTTCCAAGTGAAATATGTCAACTGGTTTCCTGACTGCTGGTACTAAGGGTGTTAATTTTGGATCCAAGAAAGATAAAGCCATTGACAGTCTAAATATTTTTTCCATCTATCATGATGTTGCCTATTGGTCCAGTGATAAGAATCTTTGTTTTCCTGACATTGAGATGCAGTCCATACTGAAGGTTGGATTCCTTGATTTTCTGCAACGAGTGCTTCAAGTCGTCCTCACTCTGAGCAAGCAAGGGTGTGTCATCTTCATAATGGAGATTATCCTGATGCCACATTCTTCTTCTTAGAGTCCAGCTTCTCAAATAATTTGTTCAGTATACAGATTTAATAGGTTTAGAGAGAGATTACAACCTCGATGTGCTCCTTTCTTAATTTTAAACCTGTAGTGTTCCCTTGCTCTGTTAGCACAGTAGCCTCCTGGTATAGTATAGGTTTTACATGAATACAATTAAGTACTCTGGCATTCCCATTCTTCTCAGTGTTAGCCATAACTTGTTATGGTTCACGCAGTCAAATGCCTTTACATAGTCAATAAAGCATAAATAGACATTCTTCTAGTATTCTTTTCTTTCAGCCACCCTCCATTGAACATCAGCAGTAATATCCCTGGTGCCATGGCCTTGTCTAAATCCTGCATGAACTTCTAACAGTTCACTATCTGTGTACTTGTTCTAGCCATTGTAGAATGATCTTCAGCAGTGTTTTGCTTGCATGTGATATTACTGATATTGTTTGATAGTTTACACTCTGTTGGAGTATAAAGTTTACATCACCTGTCTTGAGAATTGGGACAAATATGGACCTCTTCCAGTTTGTTGGCCAGAAAACAGTCCTCCAAATTCCTGTCATAGACTGGTGAACACATCCAGGGCTGTATCTGTTAAACGAAACAAGTTGGTATCGCATCGATTCCTGAAACCTTACTTTTTTGCCAGTGCCTTTAGTGTAGCTTCTACTTCATTACCATTGACTCCTGCTCGTATGGCTCATAAGGTATTTCCTGGAATTTTTTCAGGGTTAGTTCTTTTTGCTATAGTGACACTGTATGCCCTCCATCTTCTTTTGATGCTTCCTGGATCATTCAGCCTGTTGTCCATACCATCTTTCAGTATTGAGACTGAGATTAGAGGCTTAGATTTGTTTTTCAGTTCTCTTAGCTTGAGAAATGCCAAGCGAGTTATTCCCTTTTTAATCCTCGAATTCCAGCTCTCTGCACATTCCACTGTAATACTTTGTTTTGTCATCTTGTGCTGCCCTTTGACATTTTCTGCTCAGCTCTTTTTACTTTTACATATTTTCCCTTTGTTTTGGCTTCTCAATGCTCTAGTACCATTTTCATAGACTCTTCTGACAACCATTTTGGTTTTTTTCTTTCTGTCCCGTTTCCCCCCCCCTCCTCCACCCCGGTCTTTGTAATGGCCTTTTGCTTTCTTCACGGATGATACCTTTGATACCATCCCACAACTCATCTAGTCTTCGATCATAGATGTTCATTGCTTCAAATCTAAAGATGATTTTGAAATGCAGATGGAATAGATTCAGGATCATATTTTGGTTCTCATGGGCTTATTTTCATTTTCTTCAGCCTCAATTTGAACTTGTACATGAGTAATTCATGGGCTGACCCACAGACTGCCCCTGGCCTAGTTTTGACTGCTGATACTGAGCTTCTCCAACAATTTCTTCCACAGATGTAGTCAGTTTGATTCCTATCCAGTCAATCATGTAAGTCCATGTGTAAAGTCATTTGTGTCTTTTACAGAAAGTATTTGCAATGAATAAATCATTGAAAAGAAAAAATTACATCATTCTATTCTAGCCTTATTTCTATCATGAAGCCCGTATTTTCTAACTCCTATTCCTTCTCTGCTTCCAACTTTACATTCCATTCACCAATTATCACTGCATTTTCAGCTAATTTCAGACTGCAAGAATTGATAAAAATTTTTCATTTCTTTCTCTTTGGCTGAAGATATATGAGTGTATGTTTGAATAATAGTCTTGTTAATGAGTCTTCCGTGTATGCATATACTTAATTTCCTATCACTCACAACACTGTATTTCAGGAAAGAACTTGAAATTGACTTTTTGACCATAAGAGCAACACCATTCTTCTGTTTTTCATTCCCAGCATAGTATACCATGTGATTATTTGATTCAGAGTGGCCAAAGCTGGTCTATATAATCTCACTAATGCCTAGAATGTTGATGTTTATACATTATATTTAATTTTTTACAATTTCCAGTTTTCTAGCATTTAAGCTACTGCATTACATGTTCCAATTATTAAAGGATATTTGCCATTATTTATCCTCATTTTGATTGACTTTCAGTCTTGAGCTCTACTGCTACTACTATAATTATCTGTATTTCTCTGTTGTTCATTGGGTTTCCAGAGCCTTTTATTTAAGAAGTGGATGGCCAGTCCTGCTTCCTAGTCTGTCTTAATCTGGGAGCTCTACTAAAACCTGTTTATCATTGGTAACCCTTGTGGCATTTAACACACCAGTGGCAAAGCTTTCAGTATCACAGCAACTCAAAAGTTATCTCAGTACAGTTGATTTTATTAGGGCAATTAAAATTGAAGTAGTTTTGGTATTAGTATGCATTATGTAAAATTCACAAAATTTAACATTGTGGATTAAAGTATATTCATTTTCTCCTCAATCTTTTTAGTAAATAACAGATGCGGGTGAAAGAGCCATCCAGCACTTTACCTGTGAAAGCCAAAAGAAATAAAAGGCTTACGATACCTCAGGATGAAGACTCCTCAGATGACATTGCTGGTAAATCATGTTTTATTCATTTATTTCTAGACCTGTTTGTCAGATGAAAATGAGACATAGGGTTTTAAAATGCACGTAAAAGTGAGGACATAATTAGCACAAAAAGAAAATTTTTCCTTACTTTCCCCTAAGAAGATAAATTTTGTAGCTTTTGTAGGAAAATGGAACTTTTAATGTTTTTAACATGAAATGTATATATGGTTGCAGCATTTTAAAGCTTAAGAGATTTAATTTAGGATAGTCTTCATAGTAGAATCAGAGAATATTTTAATTGTTCACTGACTGGATCCCACTCAAGAGAGGATATAGAAGATGTGTGAAATATTTTATTTTAAGAACTTAAAAATATAAGACTCAAATGAAACATTGACGTTGTTATTGTTGTTATATGGCATTGAGTCACCTTGACTCATAGTACAACAGCCCTAAATCCTGTTATATCCTGGGATCTTATTGTCTCTGACACACCTATCCCCATTACCCAGTCACTAAATCAATCTATCTTGAGGGTCTTCCTCTCTTGCACTGTCCCTCCACCCTCCTAAGCATACCATCTTTCTCCAAGGACTGGTCCCTTCTTGCAACATGTCCAAAATATGTCAGACAAAGCTTCTGAATCCTTGCCTCCAAGGAGCAGCCTCGTGTAACCCTCTACGGGATGAATTTGTTCATTCTGTTAGCAGTCCATGGTATATTCAATACTCTTAACACCATAGCTCAAAGGCATCAATTCTCCTTCTATCATCCCTAGCCATTGTTTGTGTGGTCATTTATCAGTCTTTTCCTGGACAGTTTTTTGTTTTGTTTTC